CTCCCTTCCTGACGCCCGGATCCTCCTCCAGCCAAAGACAGCTGGCGATGTCAGGACCCAGGGATTCGTGCTGTCCTTTGCTGGTAGAGTTGCGGCTGATGCTTGCTTTCACTGAAGATTCATGTATTCAGGAGCCCCCGCTTCTAAATAAGCATAGTGCTCAAGTGTGTGATGATCAGTGCCTTTCACTCAGACTTAAATCGAGTTCCCGGTCAGTGAGACGCCTGCGTGCCCCGGAGGTCACATATGGCGGCAGTGCCCTCAAGGCCAAAGGGGTCCACAGGCCACACTGTGGATGTCCCGGAGGGTCAGGCTGAGGAGGTCGGCGGGGCTGAGGGCAATCCCTGGAGCCAGCACGGCTGGCTTCCTCTCTTGGTTCTGCCAACTGCTAGCTCTGCCCAGGCAGGTTCATTTCCTCCCGGTGGGGGTCCCCTCGTGAGCTGGGCGTGAAGTGAGGCCCGCCCCGAGAGGCAGGCAGGGACCCTTCTCGGGGTGCTCGGGGCGGGGTCGATCCAGGTTCACCGCTGCTCCTGGCATCACACCCAACTGGTGCTGCCTTTGCTGCAAAGAGTGCCCACCTTGCAAGCCTACATTGTGGTTCCCTGCCTTGAGCATTGCCATCCCAAAGACGCGGAGAAGCTCTGAGGGAGGCTTCCATCCAGTCAGAGCCACCGTTGTTTTCTGCTCCTGTTCCACTGAACATTTCCCCACAAGTAAGAGTCAAGCAGAGGGCAGGGGTGCAGCTCAGCGGCACCGAGCCTGCCTGGCTAGCGCAAGGCCCTGAGTTGGATCCCCAGTACTGAAAGAGAAAAGAAAGGAAGAAAGAAAGACAGAAAGCCAGCGCACACAAGTCAAGGAGGAACCCGTGGTTACTCCGGATGTTGGATTATGGTAGGGTCAGAGCTTATGAAGCTGTTTCCACTTTGCTTGTTTGTTTTAATGGTTCTTTTGAGACAGGGTCTCACGATGTAGTTCAGACTGCTCTGGACCTCACTGGGTAGCCCAGGCTGGTCTCGCACTCACAGCGATCCTCTTGCCTCAGCCTCCCGAGTGCTGGGATGACAGGTGTGCTCCGCCACACCTGGCTAAAGCGGCTTCCGCTTTGAAGAGCAGAAAGGAAAGCAGACGGAGACGAGGTGTGAACATGAGATGACGGAGTAGGAGGACGGGAAGGAGGCAGTAGAAGGTCACAATGACCCTCACAACAGAGACGAGAGCAAAGCTCGCACAGACTGGCCTGTCATTTAAAAGTCCCTTTCGCATCCACTTCACCTAAAGCGGTGCCATCCGATAGCCTCCAAGCTGTCTCCGTGCCAAGTTCCCTGCCTGCTACTTTGTGCCCACAGAGCAGGGGCTGCTGCTTCCCCTTGGCACCTGCAGCTCTTCCTGGCTCACTGCCACGTGGATCCTGCAACTCGCTCCCTCGCTCCTGGGAGGGACAAAGGCAGCCGCCTGGGGAATAAATACCGGAGCTCAGAGTGGCAAGCAGCACGGGAATTCCCTCGCTGGTGTCACACGACAGAACAGCCGACAGCGGCCTGGACATGAAGCTGGGCTTGCTCCTCGTGCTGGCCACCCTCCCCTTTTGCTGCCATGCAGGTGAGTTCCGTGCAGGGAAGGGAGCCTCCGACCAGGGCCGGTGCCCGTGTGCGTGGGGAAGGAGCTCTGGTCCCGGAGCTGCAGCACAGGGCAGCATGGATTCCAGGAGCCTGAGGCAGCTCCGCGGGGTCTTTGTGCCCGCGTTGGAGACGCTCGCAGGGTGCCATTCCCACGAAGGGCGTCCCCCCAGCCGCCGGGAAACCAGGGTGCGTCCTGGAATCTGATGCTGGAACCAGGTCTTCAAAGTGACACAGGGAAAACGGAAGGACCCCCGTCTCCATGGCACACCGAGATGTGCTCCCGAGCGTGCAGAAACGCGGAAGGGGATGAAAGGCTTTCCAGAGAGGAAGTTCAGGGGCCAGCAAGGGGCCCAGCAGGAAGCACCGCGGGGGCCGAGAGCGGCTCTCAGGGCCGATCTGAGCCCCTCCTGGTGGCCCTGGGCTCCCAGTCCCTTCCTGTTGGGTGCTGGCCGTGAGGAGGACTCACATGCTCGGGAGGCCCCTCAGTCACGGAGGAGGAAAAGCCCTGGCAGAGACGTGGTCGCACAGGCGTGGCCCACTCGGACGTGCCGGGCACATTGCCACAGCCTGTTCACACCACGTCCTCCTGTGCCCGAGGTTGGTTCACATCGGTAAAACGGGGATGAACCCCACTGCCTGAGGGAAAATCACAGAGCCTGGCGTCACCAGCTGCCGGGAGCAAACCAGCCCTTTCCCTGCACAGGCTGCCACCCAGAGCCCCTGCAGCGCAGCGAGCTGTGTTTCCCTGGCTTGGATGCGGAGAAGTGAGGGCTCTCCAGAGCCAGTGCTCGGCTCTCCAGGCCCAGCAGCCCCAGGGCCCTTGAGCTCCATTCCCCTGCTGACAGCAGTGAAGGTGGTGTGGCCTTGTACGAAGAGCGCACGTCGTTCAGTGCGGGCCCCCGTCGGTCAGAGCAGCTCCTTTCCCACGTGTCCGGTGACCCAAGGCTGCACAGGGCTTGGCTGCTCTGGGCTGGAGCGGCCTAGCCCACATTTAGCCGGTCGGCACTGAGAGCTCTAGGCCGAGCCGTGACCTTTCTGTTCGGGCGCAGAGCAGGATGCCCAGCATGCAGGTCCTCTCCGGCCCACTCCCTTCCCCCGCGATGAGCCCCGTGCTTGTGTTTCTGCCCAGGTGCTGGCTGCCAGCTTCTTGAGAATGTGATCGAAGAGACCATCAGTCCGAATGTGACCGTGTTCGATTACGTAGATTATCTCCAGCCTTTCATCCCCAACCAGTTCACTGAGTCAGCCTTGGAAGAGCTCAAACAATGCTTTCTCGCCCAGTCAGGGGACACGCTGGCCAATGTCCAACTGATGATGGTAATCTTGTTTGTCTTCCATGCCTCTAAATTCACTCCCTGGGATAAGCAGTCTCTGGGCCTCACCAAGGACGGCGAAGCCGCCGAGGCACCTTCTGTCCTGGGATTCCCAGGGTGTGTCACCATGGCCCTGCATCACACCTTCCCTCAGGCGATCTCCGCCTGACTTGGACAAGGATCAGGAAATGGGAAGTGTACAGGCCAAAGAGGGAAAACGACCGTGCAGAGATGTCAGTTCCGAGGACAGCTGTCCACACACATGCACACACAGGCACTCACCCCGCTCCCACACAGAACAGCTCCCCCCACACACTTCCCGTGAAGATTGAAATGGTGTTCTCCAGGGGCCCTCATCAGTCAGCTACGCGGGGACAGCCAACCATGAAAAGATGGTGACCCGAAATAGGACGGGTGCTGCAGACAGTAGCTCAACGGTACATTTTCACAGGATCCAGAAAAAAACAGTAAAGTAAGAGTCTGTGAACATTTAGCTCGCTTGCTTGAAAACCTTGGACCCTCTCAGGCCACATCCTTGAAGCCACTAGTGTAGATTACGGTAGTGAACGCACAGTGCTTGGTTGATCATTTAAAAGAAAAGCAGCGACAACACAAGAGAGCTTCTTTCTAATTACAAATATATTTTAGCATTTATTTAGTCTTCTTTCTTTTTTTTTTTTTTTTTTTGGTTTTTT